ATTCTTTTCCAATTATGGATACCATCCGAAGCTTGACTTATGGAGTTCGTCAATGATTAACAATCCGGCAGCTGAAGGATTGGTGAAGGAGCTTTCGCAGCTTCAAACTACATTGAAGCTTCAATTGCAAACTGCCCAAGAATCTTACAAGGCGTCCGCGAACAAATTTCGGAATCAGGCACCTAAATTCACGATTGGAGACAAAGTTTGGCTGCTTCGACGAAATATTAAGACCAAGCGGCCATGTGACAAATTGGACTATCGGAGATTGGGACCATTTGTTATCCAGAAGCAGATCAATCCTGTAGCGTATCGTCTGGAGTTACCAGCTACTATGAAGGTACATCCTGTCTTTCATGTTTCTTTGTTGGAGTCTTATCGAGAATCGTCTTTTTCTGGAAGAGTACAATGTCCACCACCTAGCATAGAAATAGAGAACCACGAAGAATACAAGGTGGAAAAGGTCCTGGATTCATGGCAAAGACGGGGTAAATTAGAATACTTTGTGCATTGGAGCGGTTACGATATTAATGAACAAACATGGGAGCCGGTCGAAAATCTCGCGAATGCGTCGCAAAAGGTACAGGAGTTTCATCGACGATGTCCTGAGAAACCCAAGCCGGTTCGACGATAGCTTCTTACTGAAGCTTGCTCATCTAGAAAACAGAAAAGAGGAGAGAGCACCACCAAAATCCATAGTTGATGTAATCATTCTCTCCAAGATAGCGTAGAACTTTGTTAGTAGCCCAAGTTTGTTCTTATTGTTTTAGCCTTTGAATATGGATAGCCAAGATACTACACTTGTCATGTCATCTCAAACAACTAGCTCACAAAGACGACCGCGAGATGAAGAACCGCTTGCACCACGACGACGTCGAAGGATTCCGAGCAACAGATCGCTGGTGATTGTATTTGAGGTCGAGCCTGCCTACAATGGTCAGTCAGAAGGAGTGTTTACAGGACAATTTCACAATGAAGACACGGAGGTTCATGCTTGGTCAGAAGTTGAAGGCGTGGGCCACTACCGTTGGCTTCAAGGACCATTGAATCACTTGCCTCTTGAACAACAATTGGAGTTCATAGCAGAAGTTATGTGACAGATCTTCATTTTCTTGCGTTGGTATTGACTGACGATAACATTACTTCTCGGAGACCTCGAAGCTAAAGGAGGAGGTGATGTTAGGGACATAGTCCTTAGACCTTTCTAAAGACAAGTTTCTAGAACCTTCTAGAAAGAAGTCTCTAGAAACTTCCAAAAGATTCCTTGAATATTCTCTTAGAATATTCTTCAAAGATTCTCTAAAGATTCTTTGAAGATTCCCTAAAGATTCCCTTAGAAAGCTCTAGAAGATTCTTAGAATATTCTAGTAGATTCTAGGAAGTTACTTGAGAAGCTTCCTAGCTCTTAGGTAGTTGCTCGAGAAGCTTCATAGTTCTTGGGAAGCTTCTTGATGCGCTTCCTTAGAACCATAGGCCAGTAGTATATATAGGAGTCGAGGCTGAAGAGTTCTTCAGTCTCGACAACGCATCTCTTGAAGTTCTAGCTCAATTCTCCTGGCGTTACTCTTGTACTCATCTGATAATCTAGTTCTTGTCATTTCTTCTTGAACTTCTTGTTTAGATTTCTTGTTTGTATTTTTGGTCCGTGACAGTAGATCACAGAAGGTTTAATATTGTTAACTACCTCTTTAAGTCCATATATATATATATATATATATATATATATATGTGTGTGTGTGTGTGTGTGTGTGTGTGTGTGTGTTCTCTATTCTTTGTTGGCAAATGATTTATCTCAAAATAATGTATATGTTTTGTTTAGATAAAGTAATCAGTAAATAAATACACAACGAAAAATAATCGATTCTCAATTTTACAACTCATGTCTGTTGCAACTGAAAATAGAAGTTCACAATATAAAACAATCTGTGATAATGAAAATGAAATATATCAAACAATTATATTATTTTCAATCAACTCAAATGGAGAAAGATGCACTTTGAGTTAAATCTTGATCTAAGAATAGCATAAATGGTGTTTTTAAGAATTCAATTAACAACACCAAATATTTTTTGTTTATATATAATTTTTCAAGTTTAAAGCAATGTGCAATTCTATATGACTTTCAATTTTGGTGCTTAAGACTTGAGCCAAGTACAATGATAGTATGTTTGTAGACAGATTCTTAAATGTATAGAAACATACCAATGTCCCAATTTTATGCTGTTTTGATTTTATACCAATGATTAGTTAAATAATTAAAATTTTGATACTGAAAACTTCATATAGATGATTTTGATACATACTATAAAATATATATATATATATATATATATATATATATATTTTGGAATCCTCATTTGCCTAATTGTCATTAATTATCTTCTTTAAAATTCAATAATACTTAATTCTTGTATTTAACACTCTACTTTTGAAATTATGATCACAACGCTTGGTTTTTTTAAAGTGTAATAAAAATATATAGCTACACAGTTTTTGATATAAATGTCTGGGATGGAATAAAGTAATTATATGTGATTTTTATTCAATTTGATGTAACTTGAAGATCCTAAAAATATTTCATAATTTGATCATGTGATGCAATAAATAAATAAAATGTGTTTATTACCATAGTGTATTAGCATCTTCCTTGCTCTGATTGTCAAATATAACGTTTGCTTTCAGAACGGAATTACACCATAAGTTTATTTGTATTTTTGAGGTATTGGAAATTATTTCGTGTTGTCATTCTATATTAAACATTTGAATTGAATTGAATTGAAATATGATATAATCAACAGTCAACGAATTAGTGATATCTACCACAGAGTTATCATTGTAGAACCACAAATATCATTGTGAGTAATTATAGGGTATTTTGTGCAGTCAACTGATTTGAAAACACTGTAAATAATATTAAAATTGAATGCTGTTGGTTCTAAAGATTGTTGAAGCAAACATATTTACATTCATTTGTATTTTCTATCCAGCACTAATTGTTTTAAGAGTATAGGTAGGTGATCCACAATAGCTAATCAACAACTTGGAGCTGCAATAAGTTGGAGGTTCTAGTATATAATTGTGGCAGTCTTTTCAACCCTCAAAATGACTTAATGATGTGTGTATTTAAATTTAATTGTGCAACAATTAATAGGAAATTCTGCGTTTGCAATAGAAAAAGATATGCAAATCTATTTTTGAAGGAATATTTGATTATACATAGATATATATATATATATTCATATATTTAAAAGTGATAATAAAAGTCATAAATTATCATGTAGGGTATTAAATGAAGATTAAACTTAAAACTTTTGTTTTATATTATACTGTTAGATACTTTTTCTTTTTACTTAGTTTTATCAAGTGGATCAATTTTCAAGATGACGAAAGAAATCTAATTCCCGTAATACTTTAAAGTGTTAAAAAAATGAATTGCAGTATTGTTTTGATTATTTTGTTCAAAGAGTTACAGTTTTAAACTGTAACATAAACCTTGTTACATTGTCCGTGTTAAACAAACGTTTGTGATTTACACACAGTCCTTGATTTTAGTATGCATCAAGTAACTGGTCTGGTGGGTTATGCAAACTATCGCACTTTTAATTAATTTATTCCATTATTCCAGTGGCTTAATTCACAACTGATTTTGTTTTGTGATATTTTCCTCATATGAAGCTCATCATTCTAAAACAAATACCATCAACCCTTAAAATACATCCATCCGCGTCCATGAATGCAATGGCCTAATGTGAATGGGGCAACCGAGGAGAGGGGAGCAGGGGGCGGAGTTCCCAATGCCTGCGGTTCTCTGCCAAGTGGCCAGTGACGTGGAGTCAGGCATCAAAGAGAAAATGGAACCAACTTGTTCTATCCGGAACCGGGTGCCTCTGACGTCACCACACTAACCTTTTCCTGCTTCATAATCCTCGTGTGTGTGTGTGTGTCTGTGTGATGTTATGGTCCTTCTTTCCGCCACATAGCCATGGAAAAAATAAAAGCATGGGAAAGTGGAAGAAAATTGACTAAAATGTTTACCGAAACTGGGTCTGCTGGACCCTTTACAGGTCGAACCATATGTGAATTGCGCTTCTTCTTAAATCAAAACAAGAACTATTAGATCCTTCAAGCATGATTTGTAATATATCATATATTAGTGTAGAAAAATTCTAGAGCCTTCTAAGGGAATCTTTAGGGAATCTTTGAAGAATATTCTAAGAGAATATTCAAGGAATCTTCTTGAAGTTTCTAGAGACTTCTTTTTAGAAGGTTCTAGAAACTTGTCTCTAGAAAGGTCTAAGGACTATGTCCCTAACATCTACTTCCAAAACAACATTTTCCATGAATACATTGTAATATAAAAAGTTATTATTATCATTGTAATTAATATTAATATCATTATTCAATTTCAAACCAGTGTTTTAATTAAGCGACTTTACAAGTGTTTATAAAATGTCTTTAGTTTATTATGGCTACATTAGCACACACGATCTTTTAAGAGATGCAATGTTTTTCACCCTCTCCCCAAAAGAATAAAGTATAAAAAATAAACCTAAAGTATAAAGATAAATACACCATCATATAATACGGACAAGATTTATCTGAGAAGAGGAGTGAAAATAAGAACTTGGATGGCAATAAAAACCCATATCCATGCACCACGTGATAAATTCCCCAACCCACCTAATTTGTCAAAATAGATAGTGAAATTATTAATGACTACCCCCACAACGCACACCACAGCGCACCCATTTTCAGAACGTGGGAACAAGCAGGAGAAAAATCATTGGGAACGTAACACGACAGCGCCACGTTTAAAGCGACGACGTGGCACTGCCAACTGGGCCACCACACACATGAAGAAGTTGGCTTGACTGACTAACTCACTGGCTGCACGGATGGCGCCGTCACTAGTAATAGGACATGCCAGGTGGACCAAAGGGGGTGCCACCTCGGCACAATGAGCGGTCATGCGCCAATGGAAGTGGGCTGACGTGGCCATATCTCCCCCGGATCCGATGGTTGCTTTCCGTCGAAGGGTAGATTCGTCGTCGTTTGTTGTGAAGAGTTTGAAACGGCCGAGTAAGTTTGTTCGCGAGTATCTTCCGCATCGTGCATTCCTCCCACGCCCCCGTGCGACTCATCCTGCTGATCTTCGGGCGACTATGCGGGCGGGGTCGAACCCTACCGTGGGTCTTGAGAAGTCGAAATTGGCGTTGGAGTTCCAACTTTATCCTCCCTCGGGTTGAACTGTTGGCGACGCCGGCAGCGTTTGCTGAAGTTGGGGCTGCCAGTGGGTCTGGTTTCAGTCCCCCCACATTTTAACTGTGGAATGCGTAACTGGGGTAATTCCGGTGCTTGCGGTGTGTTATAAATGTGATGTAAAGCACCGGTCCGCCGGGATTATCTCATGTGGACGCCTGTGGCGGTCTGTTGCGAGCCATTGGTTGAAAACCAGCTGTAGTTGATTTAAATTTTGTGTTCGAGTTTGTACATGAGGTGAGCTATTTACGAAGTTTCCTATTTGGAGGTGTGGTTGCTTTGCCAACCTTGTGCCGTTTGGTACTTCACTGGATGGTAAGAGTCTTTTATTTGACGAGATTTTCCTTGGTTGAGGGAGCGAGATTGAATACAGTCCAGTGGTGGATAAGGAAATTGATGCAGAAATTGCAACTGGGTTGTTTAGAAATTAGTTCTTGCGAGGGCGGCTGTTTGTTCTGACATTCTATTCTATGTCTTGCCAGTTCAATATTCCATGAAATATATTGCTGGTAGTTCCTTGTTGTGTATTGAAATCTTTCCGCAAGCGTTGAACACACTTTGTGATGGCCAAGTTGGCGAGATCAGTCTGATTATTCCCGAATGATTCTATTGTCAACTGGGTGTCGATAACAGATCAGTTCCAGGAGGTGTTTCCAAGCTTCGCCATGAGCACACATCACAGGTCAATGTTTTGGAAGATCTGGCACCAAACCACAGCTGACATTGTCAAGTCGGAAGGGGCGATTTCCTTAAATGTTCCAACTTGAACGCGAGCAAAATAATTCATGACCAAATATGATAGCACAAACCCATTTTAAAAACTTCTGATTGCCGTGGAAGGATAAAATGATTGACTTCGTGTTACTGAAATTCGGACAAGAAACTGGAGTCCGAGGGTGCGACCATTAGCCAGCCCTCCCTTCAAACACTTCCAGCCTTTGCCGACGTTTGTTGTAACTTATTCAAACAGTACTTGGGCAGTTGTTACCTACCCAAGTAAGAATTAGTCTGTTGGGATGAGAAAGAATCGGCGTCTCATAAAGATGAGCAGCTGAAAAATATGTTCCAAAATGCCCCTCTAAAACACATTATATAGCGATTCAAAGATTGTGATTGTGTTTACCTGTTGTAATCCAATACGTTACCGTAAGTAACAGAGATGTGATTGGCACTCATTTGCTAACTTGAGTTGGTTATCGTCACGTGCCTCCTTTAATATAATACCTTTGTCACAGAAACTCAATTGCAATCCGCTCGAATTGATCCAGTTGAAACATCAAAGAACAAAAATGAACATTTAAATACACGACTTGGAATGGCCAATGCTGACTATTTCTGTAATTCATGTCAAACCGTAGCAGAGTTAAGTCAACAAAGCTCGGTCATCACTGTTCGTTCCCTGATGCCTTCAAACACAACGTTCATCCTCAAGATTTCCATGGCTAGAACTTGTTTAGGGAGGCAAAACAACACATCAGGGGGTTTCAGACATGGTCTTTTCGGGTGATATTTCATCTGTGATACAAGCTCAAAGTATCTAAATATCACTTGATTCTTCACCAAATCACGTGATTTTAAAATCAAAGATTTTCAAAATATGAAAGAGGGGTGGATCAAATATCAAAAACTGCATCGCTAGCCTCAACTCTCTTCCCTTTTTATTAGGATAATAAAGTATGAATCAGGGATAATATCGAGGGTAATAAATTTGAACAATGATATTTTGGATTTGGTATTTTGAGTGAATCCCAATTATTTGGTTTTGCAAAAGTGCCATGTTTGAAACCCCTGTTAGACTGCTGATGAAACAACCAAATTCATGACTATTCATATTATTCACCATGATAGAAAATAAGCGACAATTTCCACAGCACCACGTACCGTAATTCTTCTATTGTCCCAAACTTGGAGAGTGCGTAAATGTAACGTTCACAAGTAAAAAAAAACTACACAAGCTGTATTTGGAGAGCTCAGGCTGTTCTAAGTGAATTGCTCTAACCAGCTAGTACCTTATCTCAGAGTCTCTAGAGATTCCTTCAGCTCGTGTATTACCTTAATTTTATTTGAACTTGCTATAAGCCATGGGGCCACTCCTGACCTGTCACCTTCGACAATCCCACTGAAGTAAATACTCGCCAACAATGCACATATAAAACATGAAAACTTTTGCAAGGACTAGTGTTAAGGTATTAGTCACAAAACCAAACACAGAATTGTTCCCACTATGAAAGCTATGACTGCAAACATATGACTACCAGTAAAGAGAAGATGCATCACCATGAGCAAGAAAATAGCGAGCTTGACGGTGAACTCCATGGTCCAAAATGCTATACTCCGGTAAGGTCACCCGCGCTCCACTTGTGTAGCTGGAGAGCAGAAATGTGTAGTGGTATGTCAAAACGTGCAGCTTGAAAAAGTTGCTTTGGAGAAAAAGCGGGAGAGAGACGAAGGCAATGCCTCTTATGGCATTAAAGGAAAGACAATCATGAAGTTTTCAGCATCCATTACCCATGCAACTTTGTGAGATATCTAACATTCAATATAGAAGCACATATAGTCAGTGAATCTAAGTCACTCTCTTTGACCCTACAATCCCTCACTTGGCTGCAGTGGGAGTTGATCATTTAGGGTTCCTCAGAACGATGATGACAGATTCGCCTCTTAGAAACATCTTGCTGATGAAGCGGTCCTTATTCACGGGCTTGGCCTTCTTCTTACCTTTACCAGTCTTGGGCACCTAAAAATGGATCAGAAAAATACAATATCAATATCCTAACTTGACTGCGCTAACAGCTACACAATTGCATGAATCAGAGATTGTTCACGTAGCTTCCATTTCCTAAATATAGTTGCAAAAGCAGAAAACAATCAAAGATCACCTTGCAAGGTGTAAAGGAATACCTCTGTCCACATCTCCTTAACGTTTTCAAGGACCATATTGCAGTGGCGATCAAATGCCTTAACTCGCCCTAGAAGCTTCTTGTTGTTTCGGCAATTGATGAGAACCTGTCACAAGCAAAATTCACCACCCGTGTAAGAGGAGCAATAATCTTAATTTGAAATGAAATTGGCTCCTAGTACAATTAATAACGTTGAAGCTAAGAAAGTTGGAATTCCTGAAAAATTACATACCATATCAACCCACGTCATCTAATGTCATGGTATTTATTGAGCTTTCTTGAGAAAAGCTACAAAATAAGTAGGAATAAAAGACGAAATCATTACGGGAGAGACAATTAATCATTACTCAACCACCACTAGATAATCCACAATCGTAAAGAGCGCAAACCTGAGTGTTGTTCTTCACAGACATCGCAAGAACAGAAAGAGGACCAGTGGAGAATTCCTCTTCCTCCGTCTTTTCCTGAACATCCCAATTTACTATGAGAGAACCGTATCACATACGAGAAGCACATGCATGATAATTCAACAATACCATAAACCCCTCGGCGGAAGGAAAAAGAAGGAGAGAAAATAAAATAAAATAAAATAAATCCAAGTGAAACGAAACAATATGCACAGGAGAGATTATCTTACTAGGTCCTCTTCCATTGGCCTTGCACTGCAACACCCAAACCAGACCCCAATCCACCAATTAATGAACATACGTATCAAAATTGAGAGATCTAATCGTGAAAACCATAACCACTTTCCAGCAAAGTAGATCTCACGCGGAAACCCTAAACCCCTGAGCCTACACTACAGCCGTGACAATCATCAACAACCCTCATCTTAACAATGAACATACACTGCTGAAAAAAAGCCATTAGAGTCACGTAAGAGAAAAGAAGAAATAAACCAACATCAAAAGCCACACACCCAGGAACACTACCCACGCAGCAAACCTATTCAATGGAACCGGAAACCAAAACCACAAAACAACAAAACAAGGACTTCAACAGCACTCTACGTACCTCATGGTGGCAAATTTAATATGTTGAGGCTCTAGAACAAACCCGTGCGCGAGGGTATCTGCGAAAACGTAGTAGCAACACAGCGATAGGGCGATGGGGTCGATCCAGACGAGAAGTCCGCAATGACGAAGCTGCAGAAGGTGCAGCAAAGCAGTGCTTCAGCAAAGGTTTGTGAAGAAGACGCCGAGAATTATCTCTCTCTTCACACGCACTCCGATTTCCTGTAACATGTCACGACGCCCAGATAAGTTCCGGGTATATACTGTCCCATATACCCGGGAACACTCTTCTTTTTACTAATATTATTCTTCATTCTTTTACCTCTACAGAATAATGTCTAATGAATAAAATGTGTATTGTAGATTAACAAAATATTAACAATAGTTTTGATAATATATTATCACATCGAATTAATTATATATTTTATAATTCATAATTATTATGTAAAACTATTGTAGACATTAGCATAGAACCAAAACACCTATACATAAATGCCTATTTAAAACCGCACTAAGCTATGGCTATATAATAAGTCTTGCAAAATATTGCCATATATTTGTTGGACTATATGTAGAATAAAAGTATTTTAACAACATTTATCAATAGAAGATAAAACTAAAACAAAATATTCAATCCAACTATTAAATTATGCCAAACCATTAAATGATTCATTAATAAATCAATTTTAAAAATAATTATATTACTTCAATAACAAACCTTATGGTTATTATTTTTTGTATTAGTTTTTAAGAAAAATCAATAAATAAGGATATAAATTGGCTATCAAAATTTCAATCATGCAACTATCTAATAATTATTTCTACTACCTGTCAAGGATATGAACTTGGAAGAAGATGCATAAACTTGGAAAATCTGTGTTAAAAGAAAAGTGACAAAATAGCAATAAAGTTGTATGTATGCTAAAAGGAAATTGGAATGGCTATTGCCAAAAGATAAGGAAATTAGAGATGTGATGTTCTATACAACCTCTAATATACGTTGACTTTGTAAGATATATGCTTTAGCTTACAAGGCAAGTTTTCTATGTATGGGCCACATAATTAGCTTATTCTTCAAGCTACTAACATGTGTGGCACATGGCCAACTTGTTGACTACGTTTCTAATTTAAAAAGTCAATTGAAGACACTTATAAAGTCAAAGTAGAGTCTACAAAGATTCTACGATGCTTTTATAGAAAATATTATAGAATTAATCTATTTTTACCTACTATTACCTAAATCATATAGATAATTATTGGTTTACATGTATATATCCGTGACATTACTTTCCCCTTCTAGAAACGAGTTCCATGAAGAATAGTCTTCATATGTTGAAAAAATCCAAGATGCGGCAAATTGTATTTGCCACATACTCCAATCTTTGTTCTCTTCAAAGATAGTTGATAGGCCTTCTCAACCATTGATAGTATCCCATACTAGGGTGAAAAGACCACCCTATTATATGGTCGTGCTTGAGGCCTTCATAACTTCCTTCAAATAAAATATTTGAAACATTGTTAGGAGTTGTTCCTATCTCTAATAAAATCACCAAACATTGGGAGTTTCTTCCAAGGTCGTGATATCAGACACGTTGTATCTTGCCATCTATTCAAGGAAAGATATGTCATTCTTGAGGATCTTTATCCCAAATTTGTCATCTTGAAGGTTGTGACAATCATAATGTTTCATCTAGTAAGCCCGCAAATAAAAGCTCTTAAGTTGAATTTACTGATTGTTGATTCTCTATCTCCTTAGCGTCATAAATACACAAAAGCTACAAAAAAAAGTTAGAAGGTAGAATGCAATCTCTCTTGGATCTTGTTTCTTTTATAATAAAGGCTTACTATAGTTTATCTTGATTTAGATGGATATTGTCGATAAAAAGCCTCCACCACCTTTGTTGTATTTATAAAATTCTTTATTGGCTCCGATGTGCATTCACTAATATTATGTTTGTGCAAATGAACAAAATATTCTAATTTATTTTGGCATAGCCTTGAGTCTAAAATTTCTTCTACTTTAAACTCTTTATTATTATCTATTTTTATAGAAGGAGGTGGAGCTTGTCTTCTTCTTGGTATATTGATAGTCTTGTATAGTTTAAGAAAAAACATGTGAAAGATAGGATGGATCTTCATTGCTTCCGATAGATATAATCGATAAAAAACTAGATTGATTTATCCACAAATAAGAAAATGTCAAAGCCTGCAGTAGTACAACTTATTACAAAGACGAGTAGTCTTGATATTATGACAAAGCAACCATATCTTGTCACTTACATTAAATTATGGTTGTTCCTTTCGATAAGCATCTGCGTTGATCTTTTGTCGTTCTTAAGCTTTGTTTAATTGTACCTTCATTGTTGCATGTAGCTCTGACAAACGATTTGCCAAACCTTGTGCTACAGGATTATCAACTTTTAAAAATTCAAAAGTATCAAGTCATAGATGATAACCATAATTGGCAAAGAAAGTTGTTTGTTGCATAGAAGAATGCATCGTATTATTATAAGCAAACTCTACCAATGGCAAGAAGGTTCTCCAATCGTCTTGTTGATAATTGATGGTACATCTTAAATATTGTTCCAAAACTTGATTTATGTATTATATTTGTCGATCAGTTTGAGGATGAAAGACCGTAGAAAGCTTTATGTCTACCTTTAAAATCTTAAAAAGAGTTCTCCAAAATCTTGATACAAATTGAGTTTTTCTATCTAATATAATATCTTTCAGCAATCAATGATATTGATAGATATTGCCAAAGAAAAGCTTGGGAGTTTCTTTGCCTATGATAGATTTTATGCATATTATAAAATGTGCCATTTTGATAAAATGATCTATTATGACAAATATAAAATCACATAATCATGAGATTGGAAGATCTATGATAAAATCCATAGAAATAGAAGACCATGGTTGTTCTGGAATAGGTAATGGTTGAAAAAGTCTATAAGGTTGATGTTGAGGAGTTTTTGACCTTGAAAAATATCACACGATTGAACAAAGTCTTTTATAGCCTTCCACATTTGCAGTATTGTATTGTAATACAACTATATGGTAAAAGATGAAAATATGGATTCTATTATAAAAGAGCCAAATTAAAAGATAAAATAAAAAAATATAGATAAAAAATAAGAAGGTAGTAAAACTTTTAGTAGTAGTATTGTTTTTTTAAAAAATTGACTTCTACTTATTTTTTAAAGCCATAAATAAGGAAAACAAAGTAAATTAAAAAATTATATGATATAGACATCTTTAAAAAGAAGTTAAGAATAAATTCTAGCAAAAATTATCTAAAAAAACTAGATATTAATACTTGAAGAGGGTTGGTTATGAACCAAGGTTGAAATCAAACCCTGAGGTACAAAACGAAGCCTCAACGATAATTCTAGGATTCTATAGCAAATCAAAGAATAGAATTACAGAGCAGACTTGATAGGGTTTCAATAAGCATTGATTTGAGATGATTTGGGATGATTTGGATTTTTATTAACTTAATAAGAGTTTTTTAAAGTCAAGGTTTGTTTTGGATGAGACTAGATTTGTGAAATAAAAAAGAGATATTTTTTGGAGAATTTCATAAGTTTAATAGTAGATCCAAAAGTGAAATTTTGAAGGTTTGTGGATTTATATGTGTTCAATATATGATGTGAGTTTGAATTTGATTGAAGAGTTGGATCAAGGATTATTGAGGTTTAAGTGGATTGAGAACTTGGAAAGTAGAGTTTTAGATTGAGTAAGGATTTCTAAGATTTCTTGCAATCTATCAGTTGGATTGGAATAAAAATTATGTGTGTAGATAGTAGACTTATTTTTCTACATATATGAAAAATTTGAGACCATTGAACAATTTGATAAGGAGATATTGGCATTGAAAATTTAACATTTAGTTTAGAGAAGGAGGTTGACCAACATCCAAACAAATATTAGGGTTGATATTCTTTTTGATGAGTTTAATCTTCTTCAAATTTTTTGTACTTGTTTTCAACTTAATTTTTAAGAGGTGTGCAAAGTTTGAGTTAAAATCAATGATTCATTCATTAGTTATTGAGGTATAAATTTGCTATAGGAATTACTTGAGATTATTTAGGATTTTGGTAGGATATGTTTAGGGATCGATTAGGATTTGGTTAAGGTTTGTTTAGATTTTTTTTGGGATTTGGATAGGATTTGGTTAAGATTTTATTAGGATTTAGTTAATATTTATTTAGGATTTGATTAAAATTTGGTTAAGCTTTGTTTAAGATTTAATTAGGATTTGTTTAGGATTTGATTAAGATTTTTTAAGATTTTGATTAGGATTTAATTAAGATTTGTTTAGGATTTGATTAGGATTTATTTAGGATTAGGTTAGGATTTGTTTAAGATTTGGTTAGGATTTATTTAAGATTTTTTAAGGATTTTTTTAGGATTTGTTTAAGTTTTGTTTAAAATTTTTTTAGGATTTTTTTAGGATTTGGTTAGGATTTATTTATGGTTTGTTTAGGATTTGATTGAAGTTTGGTTAAGGTTTATTTAGGATTTGATTAGGATTTGATTAGGATTTATTTAAGATTTGATTAGGATTTGATTAAGATTTATTTTGAATTTGATTAGGATTTGATTAAGATTTTTTAGGATTTGACTAGGATTTATATAAGGTTTGATTAGGATTTAACTAGAATTTGACTAAAATTTGATTAGATTTCGACTAGGATTTAATTCAATTTCTATTTTAATATTTTATTAAGGTTTCTATTTTAGTATATTTTTGAATTTCTAAATTAATTCTTTATGGTTCTTTAAAGGGTCTTTAGGAATATTTTTTACTTTTTACATAATTCCTTTGAAATTTTGATTGAATTTGATTGATGTTTGATTATATTTGCTAATCTTTAATTGAAATTTGTTTAAGAACCTATTAGATTTGTTAGAACTTATTGTTGCAATTTTTCTTTTATCTTCTATGGCCAAGTGCCCAGTATATTTTCAAGCCAAATGCCATATAATATGACATATTTTGGGTTTAATTGGTTTCAAATTTTTTACATATGTAGAAAAATAAGTCTACTATGCACATATATAATTCTCACTCCAATCAATTTGATAGATCGCAAGAAATCTTAGAAACCTTCATTCGACTTAAAACTCAATTTTTCAAGATCCCAACCCACTGAAACCTCAATGGTCCTTGATCCAATCCTTTGATC